CTGGGCCCCAGTGGCTGAACGCAGGCCCGATACAGTTGAGGCCCGGGGCATGCAGTTGCGCCTCTATCATCAAGGCCTGCGGCCAGATTCAGATAGTGGGCCGATTTCCCTTTGGCATTTTCGGCCTCTCTACCCAGCATGCATTGTCGGCCTCACGTTCAAGTGCCCAGGGCCTAACTAACTCAGAGACCCTGGGATTTCCACATTTGCTGAGATCCCAGACTCGGTACGCTCCAACCAACTGGCGTGCTGCAACTGTATGGACCCCACTTCCTGAAATGTTGGCACAGAGGGCTCTTGTTGATTTGCTGGCCCGCCTTCACTTAGGGCGGGCACGAGGCTTGTTGGGGCCTTAGCCCAGAACATGTACATCATGGCAAGGCCCCTACTTGAGGGCTCAATCCTCATATTCCATCCCCCTTAGCTTCGAAAGTCCGCTGAGATGCTTACTTCACAGGTGCCTTCCCTTTCAGCAGTCTCTCATWTTCTGCCACCACCTGAGGAGCTGTGTCAATCAGTTCCTCTCTAGTGAACCACCGGTCTTCCTTTGGATCCGTATGATGCCTGAATCGGACGCGATATTCTCTCTTGGGTTTAGGAGGTCTTCCTCTACCCAATGGCTTCTGAACAGGCAGATCTCTGTGATCCACAATGTCCTCGATGTCCACTTGACCATCCATGGTTGGGGGCAGCATCGATCTCCTGGAAGGGAATTGATCTGTCTCAGCGAAAGGTGCAAGCTTTGAGGCATGAAAGACTGGGTGAGTGCGTAGGTGTCCAGGGACACGAATGAGATATGTGGGACCATCCATCTCATCTCCCACTATATCCAAGACTTCCCAGGGACCAAAGTACTGAGGCATTAGTTTGCAAGAGATTCCGAACTCCTGTCCTAACTCACTAGCCTTGACCCAGACACGCTCCCCTACCTGAAATGTGGACTGTCTACGATGTTGATTATCAGAAGCAATCATTGCTTGCTGAACTTTCTTCATGTGCTCGACAGCCTCTTGCAGCAACTTCTCATACTGCACACCATACTCAAGTGTGTCGGGAGTTGCAGCGGGAGGAAGTCTAGTGCTGATCTAGGCTTCCATCCCAAGTGTAGCTGGTTAGGACTAACGCCGGTACTGCTGTGGACAGCATTGTTGTACAGGCTGGCGATGAGAGGCAACTGCTCATCCCAGTCATCCTGGTTGGGCTTGATGTAATGCCTCAGCAAGTGCTGTACAACTCTGTTCATTTGCTTGGACTGTCCATTGGCTTCGGGATGATTCCCTGAAGTCATTTGAAGTTGACTGCCCATCTGTTCTGCAGTCTTCTTCCACAGCTCACTTGTGAATCGGACATCTCGGTCACTAACGATTGACTTTGGTAAACCAAAGTCACACACCCGGTTGTCCTTGAACAACTTGATGACATAGTCAGTTCTTGCGGTCTCTGGCATAGCCACTAGTCTAGCGTACTTGGTGAATCGATTGATGATGACGAAGATGTGCCTCTTGCCACTCTTACTAGTCACCAGGGTGTCCATGAAATCCACGGAAGCACTCTGTCCTGGACCAGCAGGGATAGGCAAAGGCTTCAACAACCCAGCGGTGCTTGAGTTCGCGGCTCGTCCCGCTGAAAGACCTGACAGGTCTCTACGTACTTCTTTGCGTCATCTAACATTCCAGGCCACCAAAATCGTTGTACTAGGTTAGCACTCGTCTTCTTGTAGCCAAAGTGCCCAGTTGCGTCATGACATTCGCCTAAAAATAAACTACGCAACGCTCACTAGATGGAACTACTAATCTTTTTATTCCGGCCTTATCAAGATAGAGTAACCCGTCCACCATCACAAACTCACTTTCCATGGCCTTGTCTTTTGCCTGAAGTTTGGCCATGATGTCCATCGTGATAGGGTCTTCCCGATAGGCTCCCACCAACGATTGAGTTACTTCTTCAGATACGCCAAAGTCTGAAACTAGCGCACCTAGGTAGTCTGCTCTACATGATAGCGTATCAGCAACCTTGTTTATACTCTCCCTTTAGATACTCAAGCTTGAAGTCATATTGGTCTATGACCTCAATCCATCGCTTGAGTGCGTAAGAGAGAGCCGATTAAGTCTTGATCCATTTGAGGGTCTGATGGTCAGTCCTCAAGTAGAAGAACCTTCCCAATAGGAAGTGTCTCCAATGGACAAGTGCTTTGTATAGAGCATAGAGTTCCCTTTCGTAGGTGGACTTTGCCAACTTCTTCGATGGCATCTTCTTGCTCATGTACTCAATCGGTCTCAACTTTTTCCCATCCTGCTGAGCCAGCACTGCGCCAATGCCGTATTGGCTTGCGTCAGTGGTCACTATGAATGGCTTCTGAGGATCGGGAACCATGAGGACCTCATGATTCATGAGTGCATGCTTCAATCTCTTGAAAGCACCCTCGCACTCATCACTTCAGTCCCACGGCGTGTGAAGTCAAAGGAGAGGCGACTGTAGAAAAATTCTTAACGAAGTTCCTATAGTAGCCGCACATTCCTAAGAATGATCTGACCTCAGTGACTGTCTGAGGTCGTGGCCGGTCTCGAATACTAGCCACCTTCACATCTTCCGGCCTAATCCCCTCCGCGGATACTTCATGACCCAAGTATAGTATCTTAGTGCGACCAAATTCACACTTCTCTAAGTTGACCTTATACTTGTGTTGTCGCAGGAGTGAGAGTACAGTCTCAACATGTTGTGCGTGCTCCTTGGCAGACTTACTAAAGATCAGAATGTCGTCTAGGTAGACCACGACAAACTTATCTAGATGGTCATGGAAGATCCGATTCATAGCGTGCTGGAATGTTCCCGGCGCGTTACAAAGACCAAAATGCATCACTACGAACTCATACATATCATAATGAGTCTGAAAATCTGTCTTGTGTTGGTCCTCAGGCCTTATAGCGATCTGATGATAGCCGGATTTCAAGTCTATCTTACTATAGTACTTGCATCCCTGCACCCTATCCAGTAGGTCGTCTATGCGAGGTAGAGGCTCTGCGTTCTTCACAGTGATGGCATTGAGGCCTCTATAGTCAATGAACATCCTCAAAGTACCCCCCTTCTTTGGTACGAATAGCATGGGTGATCCGTAAGGGGAAGTACTAGGCCGAATCCATCCCTTCTCTGTCAGCTCTTTCAGTTGTCACTTGAGTTCATCTAACTCGGCGGGAGCCATCCTATAGATCCTTCCCTTTGGGGTTTTACTCCTTGGAATGATTTCTATAGCATGGATAACTTCCCTTTCAACGACCCTTGTAGGCTCTTCGAACAGATCAGGGAACTTAGCAACTATCTCTGGGGGTGTTTTAACGGCCTCCCCTTTCTCAGAGACATACACAAGGTACATACCCTCCTTTGCTTATAGTAATTGTAGAACGCTGATGCGCACAAGCAGCCATAGGTATCTATAATACTACTGGCCTTGAACTTAGTCAATCTGACAGTTTGGCCATCGGGCAACTTATGCTTGAGCACCTTCTTATCCCAGTCAAACTGGGGCTTAGCAACTTCGAGGTAGTACATGCCTAACAACATGTTGAATGGTAAGTCGTCGCTAACCAAGAACGAAATCTTATGATTAAGTTTGCCTCCTCCATAAGAGAAGGTACAGACTACGTCCTTGATGTAGTCTGTTACTATCATGCGCTCCTTGTTGGCCAAAGTAGATGCTACTGGTCTACTAAGGTACCGTACCCGGTCCTGTAGGTGCAGCCTTTCCAAGCAGTCGCGACTTATGTAATTCCGCGTGGAGCCTATGTCTATGAAGGCACCACATTTGCGGCCTCCTACATCGACTTCCACCACGAAATGTTCCCCTCTAGGACCTTTTCTCAATGCCACCCAAGACTCGCGAGGGTCCTTGTTTGACCACTCACTCTCCAAGTCTTCTAAGGCCTCAGACACATCTAACGTACAGAGCATAGTTTGGTCTAGGTGTGTCTGCGGGGTGACTAAGGAGTCATTAGCTTTGGCCTTTTCATGAAGTGGGGAGGGTATCAGGCCCACTTCATCTTTAGTAGAAGCCGCTAAAACTTCCACTGGCCTCACGCGTTTCCCGAGATAGAAGCCTAGGAATAAGATGCCCCTATCTTTGGAGCTATCTTTTTGACCTTCGCGTTCTGGCACTTGTACTGCGAGTGTCTGTATTCTCCGCAGTTAATACAAGCGCCACGCACTCGGCGGTCACGCCACACGTCTTGATCAAGACCTGCCTTCACCCATTCAGCCACTTTGGACTGATTGGAGGCGGCCTTCCTGGGTTGACCCTTCCCTCGGTCACCAGCCTTAGTCTTGACTACCGTAGCGAGGGTGCTTCCCTCAGCTACCTCCTCGCCGTCAAACTCTGAGTAGTCCATGAGGTCAGTGAGCTCGTCGATCTCCGTTTGAGTCCCATCGGACTCAACCATCATCAACTTAGCCCCCTTCTTCTTCCACTCCTGAGGACTCTTCTTCTTCTTCGTGTCAATCTGAGAGGTTGGTTGAGCATTGCCTAGCGTGGCCTCCAAATTTAAGGCTTTCCTAGACAGTGTCTCAAATGAATGGTACTCAGTGCGTGCCTCGCTGGGCAGCAAGTTCCTGATGTTTTCTGGTAAACATCTAACAAACGTGGTTAACAGGAACTGGTCACTATAGTTGATGCCTGGGACGAGGATCAGGCTCTCAACGGTAGTCGTAAGCTCTCTGACTGACTTAAATTTTCGTTGGTCTAACTTGTTAATCGCATCAGTGGCCCTTTTTTTGTGCCTCCTGTGGATTATGCCATCGAGCTTCTACCATTTCCATGAACTGGTCTAACGTGAGAGACTTAGCCCAGTCTGCCATGCGTCGCCCATACCCGGCCTTTACAACTACCCCATCTAGCCACTTGGCTGCCTTACCCTCGAGGTAAGATGCAGCGGTAACCACTTCGTCCTCTAGCAAGGTCCTCTTGGCCTTTACCCAAACCGGGACTGTCCTCAACCGTGTGTTGAGTTCTTCGTCCTTCCTCTCGCCTGAGAAGGCAAGAGGCGGTTTCATTGGGGTTTTGGGGTACCATTGACCTTGCTGTTGTCCCTGTTGAGGAACATGTTGTTGCGGTGGTGTAGCTCCCACCGCTGGACCCGAAGAAGAAGATGCAACAGTCTGTGCGACTGCTGCAGACGTACCACTTGGCTGTGTGCCAACTTGAACTGGGAAGGGGCCTTACATCGCCGATAACGGCAACGGCGATTGTGCTGGTGGCCTGAATCTTGGCCTTGTCAAAACATCCAGGATCTGGTCTAGAGTGCTTTGCATGAACTCTAATCTGCTGTCCACGTGCGCATGCAGCGACAACATATTCTTCTTCAGCGTTTTCAGTGGGTCAGATAATACTGACTCATCCAAACCCTCTAATTCAGCCTTGTCAGCCTCTAAAGTATCAAGCCTGGCTGCTCTAGTTTTCATTTCTCTTTCTCTATCGGTAACATCTTTTAGGTCCTGCTCTTTACTTCTGGTGGAGCCTCTCGACCTGTTGGATCTCTCTGAGCTCCCTCTCACGTGGGGTCAACGGGCTGAACTGCGAGCCCGCCATTTGACTAGAAGACTGTCTAGAACCTGTTGAACCGGAAGTGCCCGTGGAACTTGTAGAACTCAGTGGCATTCCCAATTGGTTCCCATTAGTCCCAGACAAAGCCGCAGAGGATGCTGCTGAGCTAGTCATGGCTGTTGCAGTAGCCCTGGCTGCTGCAGCAGCCTGTTCCCTAGCTGCGGCGTTTGCTGTTGCCCTTGATGCTGGTAGTGCACGGGCTCTACGTTCGACTATAAGTCGTCTTTCTTCTCCCGGTTGTAGGGTCTGGAACACGTGCGGAATCCTTAATGCTTCCGAACGTGTAAGTCTCCTATTGTCTGCTCTATCATCCACAGGGTCCGTTCCGCTCATTAGTTAGGCAGACAGTATCTGCACTAGAATCCCCTAGTGGAATCCTACCACAGCATGTATCTGACCGGCACCTGATTTTCTAAAAATAGTTGTGTCCGGCGAGTCCCCTACTGTACCGATCAAGTGGCATGTCTACAACATTCACACAGATTGTCTACATAGTCTAGATGTATCTTGATAGGTTCACTTACAACAAGTTTAAACAGAACTGGCTATGGTAGTATACAACAGTCCTAATCTAAGCTGTCTGTGAGGTGTTAGCAGTCTGTCCACCAACTAATCAAAGATACAAAAAGACAATGTAGCAGATGTATGATGAGTGGGTATGGTTGTGTATTCAGTTGAGCATCAATTAGAACCTACCCTCCCGTCAATCCAACATACCGAACAGCATCTTTGAGCGAGCAGTGTCTTCGTGTGTGTATCGGCCCACCCCTGTGCCCAAGTCGTTACCGAGCAAGCCAGCCCAACCACTCTTATTTACCCTCGTACGGCGACGAGCCTTCCTGTCGATGTGATCTGGCTGATCAGGAGGAATTTATAGAGCGCCCCCATCTCTTCAGGAATTCTTTAACGTCGCAGTCAGGACGACGATCACAGCCAGAATCACAATGAACTCCCAACCAGAAATGTT